TCACCTGATCCTTAACGCACCAATCAGACTAGCCCTGCTGGCTCACCTGATCCTTACCCACCAATCAAAAAGCACCCCATGCCAACTGTCAAACCAGCCCCGGCTCTATAAATATGCAGAGCTGTTCCTCAATAAACGGGCATTTTCTCTGATGGCAAGCCTTGATCGTTCTTTCATAAGGTATACAATAAATGGAGGTATCTGTTGTCAGTCCTACCTTAAACTTGAGCTCAAACTACAGAATCAGTGGTAATCTGCAAGGTGAGTGGTCCAGACAGAGGGAAAGCATCTATATAATTTCTGAGACTGGGAGACCACTGAGGCCTACAGCTGGTAAGGGAAGTGTGTAATGGAGAGTGAGGCTTGAGGATTGGCAAGGACAAGAAAGGGGCTTGTAGGCTGGCTGACAGCTAGTTGGCTCTGTGAATATAAATGCAAATTCCTTAACCTCTTTGGGCCTATTCTTTCTTTCCTCTTTTTTTTTTCCTCCTTTTTTTTCTGGGTACCAGGGATTGAACTTAACTACTGAACCACAACACCAGCCCTTTTCATTTTTTGTTTTGAGACAGGGTCTTGCTAAATTACCTAGGGCTTTGCTAAGTTGTTGAGGCTGGCTTGAACTTTCGACCCTCCTGCCTCAGTCTTCTGAACTGCTAGGATTTCAGAGGTGTGCCACCATTATTTCTTTTATAATTAAACTGCTGGGTACAATGATTTATATGTTTATTCAAGGCTCTTAAGAGTTTTATAATATATTACTTAAAGTAGTAGCTAAAAGTAGGGGCTCTTTAGTAAAACTTCAGCAACAACCCTACTCTTTAGCATTTAATAATGGTGTATCTGTTCTCTCACCCAGAAAATGAAAATGATAATAATTATTGTGACAATTAAATGAGAGTTCCTGGTACAAAGTAGAATTACACATGATCTAATAAATTTAATTGTATTCCACTTTTCAAATATATAACAACAGAATGGTAAAAAGCACTGAGGATGATAAAATCTCAGGGTTATAAAGATCCGTGTCCTAGAACTATATAAAGTTCTGCTTAGGTACCTCAGAAACATCACAAATATTCAAATCAATTTTAGTTATTTTGAGTTGAGTGTACTTCTTCTATTCTCTTCTTCCTATCTGCTGGTTTTAGGTTATAAATTATTTTTTCATTTTTGCAGTGTCTTCCCTTGCATTTTAACAAATATATAATTTAATAAAGTATGAAGATAATTAAAACTTTTATATTATTTTCCTGAATAGTCAAGGATAAATGCTTTAACACCATGTGATTTTGGCCAGTATTTACCTATGTCACACTTTTCTTTCTAGAATTATTTATCTGTAGAATATCTCAGTTTGAAAGCTCCTTCAGATGGTAATAATCTTGCAGTTCTGTTTATCTAAAAGGGTCTTTATTTTGCCCTAGGTCTTGAAAAATGTTTCAGTGTTTTTTTCTCAGAGAGCACTGGGGAATTCACACAGGCTGGTGGGAGGGGTGGGAATGACAGCAGGAGCAGAAGAGGGCTGGAGCCTGAGGGATGGAAGTGAAGTGGGACCTAGTGAGGAAGCATCACCATGTGGGAGGGGAGAGTGTGTGTGGTGGGACAAGTCAAATCAATAAATAAAAAAAAGAAAAGTGGGGGGCTGGGGCTGTAGCTCAGTGGTAAAGCACTTGTCTCCCATGCCTGAGGCACTGGGTTCGATACTCAGTATCACATAAAAATAAATAACTATACCGTGTGTTCATCTACAACTAAAAAATTTAAAAAACAAAAAAAAGTGAGTGGCTGGTTTCCCCTGTAAGAGTTACAAATATGGAAACAAACAAACAAACAAAAAGAAACTTAAAGGAATTCCTGTTGTGTTGAATTAGAATTGTAACTATTAACATGAACTCATTATCTCATAGTCTCCAATAACTACAGACAGAAAGACACACACTTATATTTATCCCCCAGATCTATTTACTACAAGGTCCTAAACGCAGTAATAGTCCAAACACAATGAGCATGGGGAGAACTCAATCTTGGTTTCTAAATACAATTCTCCACCAAAGGAGCCAGAGTTTTTGGAAAGA